TGTCCTGGGCTGTCTGGGGCACGGTGCAGCTCGGGGACCTGGGTGACCAGCAAGGATGGGCAGCTCTGTGGGATGCAGAGACACCCTGACACCTGCCCTGTTCACGTGCTGGGTTTTCACGCCAGTTGGGAGCATTTTGGTGCCTTTTGCTGTCACAGAGAGAGCTGCCATCTGGTGCWGAGGCTGGTGGCAGCTCGGAACCTCCCCCAGGAGGGGCTGTGCCTTCGGCAGGGGAAGCGAACCAGCACCATTCCCCCAAACTCCCTTTCGGCAGCTCAGGAAAGCTATTTGCATGCACAAAATCTGCTGCTGTTTATTCCCARCCTTCCCAGCAGGGCCTATTAGCTGGTCTCCTCTATTTAAAAACAGCCTGTTAGGCTGAGAGGATGAATTAGGGCTCCTTCACACCACCTCCTTTAGGGATGGGGTTTGTGTTATTGCAAGGCACCGAGAGAGAGCTGGTGAGTTGCTGTCTGTATTTTGGGGAAGGACCTGAGGATTTGTTGAAGACAGAAACCTCTAAATTTCAAACTGCAGGAGAAGACATTTTTGCCCACTTCAGTCCATGGACATCACTAGTGGGAAATGYTGGGTATTCCCCCAAGGCTTCCAAGAGGATTTGGAGAGCCTGGGACTGGCAGGGCAAGGCAGAGAAGGATGATCTGGTTGGAATCACCTCTGAGACTGCTAATCCCAAAGGCTGTTCCTATCCCACAGCCTCCATGGACAGAGCTGGCCCCAGGGATGGGAGCTGACACCATGCTGATGCAGCATTGGAAACACGCATTCCATTTAGAATAAAAAAAAATCACTTTCACACAAATGGAAACACAATCCCAAAGCGCCTTTTAATTGGGCCCACTAAAAGCCTTATCAATTAGATGTTGTTTTTACCAAGTGGTTAAAAAATGCATCTACGTGGCTAATCCCTACTGAAACGCAAAGCAAGGCTCTCTCTAGAATCACTGCAAAGCTGGTTTACCATATTTTTGTCATTTCTATAGACAACAACAAGGATTGGATCCACTAAGATCTACCAAAGCATGAGTTTCTGAACTTGAAATTTGATTTATCCCATCTCTTAGCATCTGCCTGTATTGGACCCATGAGCTGGACAATGACAAAAACTATTTATTTTAATAAAGCTCAGGTTTTTTTCTGAGCTTCTCAGTGGCAAAATRGTCTCAGAAGCAGAAGGGATAAATCTGCCCATGGTTCTCCCCAGACTGAGCTCTAATCTGGGCTGTCACTTTTCTCTCATTGTTTATTTTCTCGTTATGTCAAATTGGGCTTTGTTTTTATTTTTCTGTCCTAACTAAGGGGCTTGAAAAGCAATTTACTGCCTCTTTCCCTTTGTTGGAATGGAGGAGCTGCTTGATCAGCCGATTCCTCCCCCAAGCCTGTTATTGGGATTTGATCAGATCGGGGATTTTCATTACATGCTTTGTAATCAAGGCCAAACTAGTGATGGAGCAGAAGAACAATAACGCAAGAAGATTAGAACGTCATTAATTCTCCCTTTGTTAATCGGGTAATCCAATAATTCACATGCACACGCACACGCAGAGCAAACCACAAGTACTGCCCTTTCAGCAGAGATGTGACGGGGAGTGCTCGCCCCGCTGGAGTCTTTCTGCTACTTAGGCCCTATTAATTGTATGAAATTTATTCCAGCGTGCCCAACAGCGCCTTGCCCAAGTGCAATTTAAATAATTAAAGGGCAGCAATACTTGTCAAAACAATGATCAAAGCACCCCRTGGTGTGGGGCCTCTCTCCAACCTGCCTTTGTCACGACAGAGCTCAAGCCCACGACCGGGAGCACACGAGTTCCCGGTTCYCCTGCAGCTCCAGCTAATTCAGAAATGTGATCCCCTAACAATTTCTATGAGGTTTATATAAGAAAAAGAGCTAAATGGAGCAGCCTGAAGCCATTTAATAAAAACGTTAACAAAGCACTCTCTAAGTCGATACCTCACGTAAGTGATAGAAGATGGAGGGTTAATGGACATTTTATTTTAATAACCAGCAGCTACTTACCAGACCCCACCAGAGTGCATCTGCGTATGTATCAAAGTGCTCATTTTCTCCCTTCTCGGCCAAGTACACCAGGAAAGAGGCCAGGATGAGGCACAGGAAGCCAATATACCAGGCAGTAATCAGCTCCTGCAAGATCATTAAAAGAAAGAAGAGAATAATTGCAGCCCTGGTGTGCATCTCCAAATGCTGGGTTTCTTGCTTGCTGCTGGATCTGAACTTCTGCGTTTAAGTTTTGGGGCTTTGGCTGGAGATCAGTAATGGCACTTTTGGAGATGGGACCCTGAGGTGGTGACTCTGCCACACCTGAAGACCAAATCATCTAAACACACACAGCAAATGTAGAAGGGAGGGTTAAGAGCACCATCATTGCAAGATATGGAACTGAGATTTAAAAAACTCTCATAATTCCCCAGTTCAAACAAGGAAGTCATGTTGAAACTAAAATCGGCATCCCCAAGCCCCTTGAGATTTTACTTAGGGCAGGTCTCTTCCACTAAATGAGGAAGARCTGAGAAGTTGGGGTCTGGATGCAATATCCCCCAACTGGAGGGCAGTTTAATTTAGAATTCACAGATACGATTATTTTTGTGTTAGGTTAGTGAAAGTGTGAGCTAAAGAGACAAAAATTTTCTCTGATGTTTACATGGTGTTGGATAAGCTGGCTGAGCTTCTCTGGGGAAAAGGAAGTGAAGGAAGCAGGAGAAATGTTAAATTCGTAAATACAGCAGCAGGAAACAAAAAATTATCAACAAACTCTTCCAACAAAAAAATTATCAACAAACTCTTCCTAAACTGAAGAAGACTTCCAAAACTTCCTTACACCAGGGATTGGTCCCATGACTGGAATCTCTCACTCCTTTCCCTCCCTGACTGGCTGGAGCGCTCCATCAGATTTTGTGTCTCTGACTGTGTTGCTCCCTGTGTTTCCTACGGTGTTTTTCCAGTCTCCCCAGGCCTGGGAGAGCTTTGGGATTGAGAGCTGACCCAAAGCAGCATCTCTGGTGGGGAGAGCACAGAGAGCAGCTCCTTGTCCTCACTCACCTTGCTGTGTGCGTAGACCACCGAGCCCAGCAGCTTCCAGGTGCCGCCGCGCCGGTCCATGCGGATCATGCGCAGGATCTGCAGGAACCTCAGGCTCCTGAGTGCCGAGGTGGCAAAGACGTTCCCCTGCGAGCCTGCGGCCAGCACGGCGATGGAGGCAATCAGCACCATGATGTCTGCGGGGACACAGGGCAGGGAGAGCTGAGCGAGTGCTGCCCAAAGGGGACAGAACCGCCTCGCCCCGGGCTGTGTGTGACAGGGATCTCCTGAGCTTGAACCCACAGCACTGCTCTGGAACTGGATGAAAGGAGCCACGGCACACACCWCGAGGAAATATCCTGGTTTCCTTCTCATCACTCCCACAGAAAAGGTGTCAAATGCTGCAAGGTCTGAATTTTGATATGATTCAGTGTTAACACTGGATGAAATCCTTGCCCAAGGCATGCCCCATCTTTCATCAGCTATAGCTGCCTGTTACACAGAGAAGGGAATTCCCCCATCTAAAGCGGGAATGAAAATCTATATATCCTCCATARTAATCCTAAGGTGCTTATGGACAAAGAGAATCCAAGAAATAGGTCAAGAAAAAATGTCTTGCTCAATATATATCAAAGATCCTATAAACCTCCCTCTTCCCTGATTTGCTACACAAATTTTATAGGAGTGTTTTTTCTGTGGAATAAACTGAAATCCTGCATWTGTCCATTGCCAGCTCCTGGACAGTTGAAGGCAGTGTCCAGAGCGATGGGCATGGCCACTCTGTCCATTTCCAGTCCCACAAAAAAATCACTGCTGTGCCCAGATGGCCCCTCTCACAGAAGACTCGCTGAGCACTTGACAAACAGGAATTAATTAAGTCTCACAAGTCCCTTGTGAGGCAGCTCATCAGCACCAGGGAAGGCAAAGTGAGACACGGAGTCTCAACGGCTTGGGAACAATTCGGTGTGGAGGTTGGACACAGGATTGTAGGATTGCTGYTCCTGTGCTCAGCTTCTCCTGGCTAAACCCCATTTCTGTGGCTGTGCACAGCTCTCAGTGGTGCCTGAGGTGTGCAGGGCACTGGCTCCCAGATCAGCAGAAAACAGGGAGAGCCCTGTGATGAATATCAAAAAACATGTCCATGGATTAGGACTTCTGCCTTTGAGTTTTTTCCTTTCTCAAGGTGACCGTGAAGCAGCTGAAGTTTAACCCCCAAAATGCATGTAAGACAGTGCTTGGAATGGGCATCCTGGGCTGGGAAATCTCMTGCAGGGACTCAGGTCTTACCGATGACGCAGAAAGGCTTGCGGGCAAATTTCAACCTTCCCCTCCAGCCCCGGTATCGGCAGCAGCAGCCGGCGGCCCAAATCCGCACGAAATATTCCACCCCAAACACCACGATGGTGACAATTTCCTGCGAGGGGGACAGAGCCATTAGTAGGGAAAGAAGGATGATGGAGAGCACAGTCCAGAAACAAGGACAAACCCACAACCTCAGGAAAATACACCTCAGAAAATACATCACCGAGCTGTCTGCAACACTCAGCAGAGAGCCCAGGCTTGAAACATAATCAGATCTCTGCTTCTGTGAATTCCCTCCCCCTCCCCAGGGTGGTGAGAGGGGCTGCACGGTGCAGCCATGAGCTGGAGGTTTACACCTCCTCATATTATGTTTGTTCCCCCATCACAGAACTGATGAACACCTCAYTGTCTCCCTACCATCAGCCTCCAGGACTCAACTCATTTAATGCTGAGGGAAGAGCAGAGAAKGGAATCACTGAATGGGAACAATCCTAGAGGGTGATGAAAGGGGATTTCAGCTTTTTCCCTAGCAAACAGGCCTGGTTGCCTGTGTGTGATCTGGTGCAGAAGCAGTGTAGATCTGCCACCCCTTGATGCCATGTGAGCTCTTTCCATCTATTTCCATCTCCACCTGAATATCCTGCACATGCTCCCTTCCCTCTGAGATCTTGTCTCACCTTTCTCATGTGCCAAACCTGGTGAAGCTCTAATTATTCTGCAGCACCTTTTGATTTGATGTAGGGCAAAAGGAAAGGAGAGGGATGAATCCAGCAGCCCTGGATTTATTTTTTTTTTACATTTCTCCCATTTCTGACTCAGTGGTCCCCCTCTCACAAGTGACAGCTTAAATTCTTGCCTCAAACACCCCGAATCTCAGGGGATTGTGTGGTTTTGACTTTATTTTAACACCTCACTGTCAGTCCCCACTTACCAGGATGTAAAGGGCCCCTTCTGAGCTGTTCTGGTACTCATCAATGGTCGAAAAGACAGACAGCACCAGGCAGGAGAACACTAGTAGAAAACTACAGAACACAAAAAAGGGAGACAGAGGGAAGGTCAGTCTTRACAGCAGTAAATTTTCATACTCCTCAAACTAACTCAGAGAGCAGTTTTGGATATATTTCTGAGTATTTACTGCWCTTCTGCTACACCATTATATAAAAAGGGTAAGTAAAGTGCCCGATTTTGCTAACTGGATGGGTTATGAGTGGATGGACCCACTGGACTGTCCCCAGTTTGGCCAGTGCCAGTCCAGTTCCCTTTCCAGCTCTGATCACATCTGACATTTTTTCCCCAAGGAAGTGTCAGCTCTTTCAGCAAAGTGCTTCCAAAAGCATCCAAATGACATTTCTAACTGGGATAAGAGGGGAGCAGACCGGCTGAGGAGCAGGAGCACGGGCTGAGCACGAGCCCTACTCGTGCTCTGCTTATGCATTTACATGCACAAAACCTCACACAGAAGTGGTGCTGCAATTCTTGCCAGAGTAGGACATTTTTGGGTGGATTTAATGCTGCTTCCTTAGGAAGGTACTCCACATTAACTCCTCGCTGCCTGCAAAAGCTGGTGGCTTTTTGGGTTTGCTGTAGCATCCCTGCGAGGTGGGTTATAGCCTCTCTGCTCTTCCAGACATGGGACATAAGAGGGGTTTGATCCAGCCCACGGGAAGATGATCTTGGTGCTGTCAGCACTGGGGAGGGAGCTGGGCTGGTCTCTGTCCCAGCCCTTCAGGGACAAAAGCTTTCATGAGCTGGGGGGACACCCAACTTTAATATCAGCTCTAATTCACCCCAAAATCGGGGAGATCCTCAAAGCCCAGCACACACTCAGGTCTCACTGACACCCACATCCATAGGCAGCCTCCCAGAGCAGTGCCACCCCCGCCTGTCACCCTGTCCCCATCAGGGCTGCCCAGTGCTGGGTGTTCTGGTGCAAATCAAAATGCACCAGAGATGAGTGACAGGAGCTCAGCTCTCTCCTGACACTCAGCACCCGAGCCCTCAGCTGCCGAGGTGTCCTGGCATCTGCTCAAGGATGGAGGATTCCACCCCTTTGCTSCAGCAAAAGCAGGGAAATTAATTTACCAGGGATCGATTTACTAATACAATAAAGTAGGCCAGCGCAAGGAGAAACTAAAAGCTGCATTCTTTAAGAGCATTAAATAATTCATCTGTCTGACTTTGTCTCACATTCCTACGAACTGCATTGTGAATATTTATAAGGTTTGGTTCTGCTGGTGGGGGCTGTTGCTTTTTGGTGAATAAAGAAAAGGAGTTTCCCACAGCAGTGRGTCGTGCCTGTGGCTTTGCAGTGACCATTAATGTCACAGTAACAAGTAAAAATAGGGAGATTTGCAGTATTTATTCGAACCACAGGCTGAAACGTGGTGCTGAGGTAGGGATGCTGGAGTGAAGGGACCTTCAGAGCCATCTCAGCCAAGGCTGAGCTTCATCAGCCACAAAACGAATCCAGCACTGAGCAGATAAGGATAATTGCCTGATTTCTCACTGCCAATTCCCCCCTCTCGCGCCAGATTTGGTGTGCAGACATTTGAAACAACCTCAGGAGAGTAAGAAAACCTCCTTTCCAATCCCCCTCGTGATATCCCTCAATGTCTTGTCTAGGTCCCATTTCACTCCCTTTTCTCCCTGAGCTGGTCTTTTAAAACCCTCACCATAAACAACCCTACCACAACCTGCCCTGCAGTCAAACAGATCCATCCATGCCAACATCCTCCAAATTGCTGGGATGGTGCCCTGGGAGCTGGAGAAGMAGCCCCACTGCTGCCCACACTGTGRCAGGGGGAGCAGAATCCCACAATCCAGGAGGGAAGGAGCTGCAAGTGGGTCACGCAGCCCCACTCCTGGGATGGCCCAGATTTTGCTGCAAAGTTCCATGCTGAAGTGAGAAACAAATGAATAATCAATGAGAGAAAAAGAGGGGAAAAAAACGAACAAAAAGATAATGGAAAAGCATCAAGGGAAAAGAGAATTCTACTTTTTCTGATTAAAGAAGTAGAATGTGAGTTGTATTTATTTTTGTGACTAAAAAATCTCTGTAAARTGCCTGAGGAAGAGCTGAAAGCAAAGTGCCAATACCAGAGCAAGCTTGCACACTGTGCTTGCTCAGTAGATCACCTTGGACAGATCCAGAATGAAGCCTCTCTCAAATGCTGAGTCCTGGCAGGGACACACACCACAAAAATAAGAGGATTCCTGTAAGTTAAGTAGTCACTAGACAGATATTGATAGGACAAGGAAGGAAAAAAAAAAAGGAACAGAAATTGTTTTGCCACTCCAAATCCCAAAGAAGGATTGTGAAAGCTGTGGTTATGGGGGGAGCTGGGGCAGCTGCAGGTGTCCCTGGAGCATTCAGACACCTCGGTGCTGTTTCTGCCCCTTCAGCACATCCCTGCAGACTCATCCCCAGCCTCTCCACTCTCCTCAGCTCCCCAGGGCCAGCTCAGTGCTGCTGTAATTTCCACTCGGGGCTCCCCAGGGCTTCCATTGCCAGGGAGACCTGATGCAGATCAGGCTGGCAGGGCCAGCATTAATTACAGCCCTGCCGAGCATGGGAGGCAGCAGGGAATGCACCAGCTTCTCCAGCGAAGCATGGCAGATCCATGGCCAAATCCCACAGGGACAAAAACCTCCCTCTGGCTCAGTCCCAAGGGGTGAGGAATGTCCCTGTCCCAGCYACCAGGTAAGGAACAGTCCTGCCAGCCAGGGATGCAGGCTCTGGCTCAGCACAGAGCATCCCAAAATAGCTCCACGGCGATGCTCAGCCGCTCTGCTTGACTGTGTGGCACAGGAACCTCTGTGGGGCTGGAAAAGGAGACTCAGAGAACGACACCTTGCTGAATTTGGGGGGTTGAGGTCGTTATGGCTCCTGGGAGGCTTTGAGGGACCTGCAGATCCCCTTTGGATAGAGGAGTGGAAGAGGGAAGCTGAGAGGTACGTGCACATCGGGGCGTGTATCCTCGGAGCCCTCACAGAGGGAGGGCAGYGGGCAACAGGAAGCTGGAGTCTGCTTTAGTTCCACCTAATCCACCCAGACAGATCAGGAAAGGGCTTCAGATAATAATGGATAGCCAAGGAAAGGGAAACAAGCCAATAAATAGTCTAGCAGYTGGGATGAATCTAATTTTTAAAGCTACGTATCTAATGAAAGAAAATTACGTCTGCAGCCCTGACTCTGGGAAATGTTAATGTGCAATAAGGGGCATTAATTAGGTCCCATCTAATGATTTTTACATTAAAGATGCCAATTCTGCTTAGAGYATTGAGGAAGACAATATCCTCCTCCTGAGCAGACAGGTCCTGCCCGATGCACAGCTGAAGCCAGCACCAGCATCTCCCAAACTCCAGGCAGGATTTGGGGGATTTTGGACTCTGTCTCCTCCACAGAGTGATGGGGAGGAGAAATCTGTCTCCAGCCTGGTGGTGAAGGACACCTCACTTCATTTTCTCACCCACCACCCATTYCTGCAGGCCCCCAGCACCTTCTGCTGCTCCGACATCCCCCACGCCTGTTGCTGAGACCTTTAAGCTCAGCCAAGGCTCAGCTGTGCAAATCTGACTGCTGCTAATACCAGCAAATCCAAAGACCTCCAAAGTCTGACTTTACATCCAAAGGTTATGTTGACTTAAAACACCCGTGCAAGCTTCTTATTACAATTTTTAAATCCCAGCAGAAAATCTGCATATCCAGATTTCATATCCACCGTGCCTTCAGGTTAGCAACAGAAAAAGAAATGACTGAACTCCCCCTTGGAAATAAAAACACTTAAAATGGCATGAAACAGGAAAGATTGTCCTTCTCTTTTTTCTTCCCCTCAGTGAAAGCACATGATGGAATCATCATAAAGCTTCTCAGGTTAATCATCTAATTTGCCTTCCAAAAGAAACCCCCTTGGAATCTACCCACCCATTTATATAAGAATTTTAAAAGGCCTCTAAATTTATTCCTGAAATACCCATATTCAAAATAACATTCACTGACATTCAGAAACGTTGGGGTTCCTCTGATGGAGGACCACTAATTAGCAATGGGATTCCTGCATGTGATGGAGATGGGCACAACACAGGGAGGTGACAAAAGCTTGAAAGAAGCCACTGTGCTCATTGCCCACTTTGACGGCTTTCCCTGGAATTGGGAAAGGTCATTAATGATTTGTTTAATTAGAGGGAGCAAAGCTGGAAAGGGACGGGTATTTTACTACAGGCATTCGAGAGCTGCACAATGAAAAGCAACTTAAAACATTTAAAACACTTGAAAATTACTTTGGGGACGTAAACRAGGCATTGATAATTGTGCTAAAATAAAGTAAATCCCATTTACTGTGGGCTCTGTAAAACGCTGTAGTTCAAGCACCTAAAACTTTGATGTAAATCAAAGGCCAGGGAAATGCAGAAATGGCAATAAGTGAAGGCAAAAGAGCATCCATAGCAAAGAGAAACAGAAGTAGACAAATGCCTTTTAGTGCTCAGAGAGCCTCGAAATCAGAATGGAAGTATTTGCAGCTCAATTTAAACCTCCATTGAGTCAGAAGAGAAAMGCTGAGAAAGCCATGACTTTTTCAGGGATAAAGACTTTGTCGTGTGGCACCTACCCTTAGCCAGGAGCATCCATCATCTTTATTCATGTAAGCAATCCTGCTGCGACTTGCAACCTGGCTGCTCACTTACAAGGCTGAATAGAAGCCTAAATACCTCACTCTGGGTTCCCACGTCCCTTGGTCTCAGCCAAAATCATCTCCCAAGGCAAATTCTGTCACTAGAAGAGCTRGAAATAGAAGTGGAGAGTCCTGACTTTTGGTTCTGTGCCTTAATAAATGCTCTCCTTCCCAAAAATCAGCCTCATCCTCTCTCTGTCCTGAGATCTTGTTCCTTGGATGAGCCTGGAGGATCCCTGAGCATTCTTGCGAGTAGGAAATGCTGTTTATGGTAAACACACTGGCTGGCTCTGAGGCAGGGATTGTCATGGCTTATAAACTTTATAATAAATCATTACCAAAGGCCTGTC